TTTTTCTTTTTATTAGATTGGTTCGATTTAAATGGTTGAATGACGGAAAAAAGTCTCACAATCTTTTTTATAGTAATTATTCGCTCTTTTTGATTACCAAAATTACTAAAAGAAAAAAAAATATATAAATTTTTTTTTTAAAATTTAAATTTAATAATAATATTTAGTGAGATATTATGAATGATATGTCCCCTGTTACATTCTTTAAAAGAAACGCACGCCATGTAAACAAAAATTAAAATTGTTTTTCTTATACGAATAGAATGTGTAAACAGTAAAACATTTTCTGTATGATACAAATTGATGTGCAACATTATTTCTATTGTGATTTACCATCAAAAAATAATAATAATAATAATAATAAAACAGTGAAAAAGATCGATAAAATCAGATCATCAACAATAACTCCTGCTTATAATTACGTATGTTTACATGTATTTTATGTATTTTTCAAAACAATTTTTAATAATCTCTTTTTTTTAAAAAAAAATATTCATGCATTTGAATGTATTATTTTATTATTATTTTGAATATGGTTTGAAAACAGATAATCTTTTTTTTTTTAAAAAAAAAAATCGCATCACAAAGTACACGAAATAATTATTATTATTAGTAGTCTCCAGAACTACCTGCTTTGTAAGCTCAGTTTTAATAGGACCTTTTTTGAATTGACGAAAGACCAACGAATAACGATTATGTACAAATCTTATCAAAAATGTTTTAATTTGACATAAATATAGACGAATGTAGACGCGAAAAAAAAAAAAAAAATATTTATCGGATACTTCCAAATTAGGAAATGTTTTTTTTTTGTATTATTTCGAAAGTAATTGAATCAATAGTGTACACGATTCATAATTATATATTGATTTATTTGATTTGGTTCAAATAGTTAAATAAATTATAATATCTTCGGTTAATAAAATCTTCGTTGATTCGGTCAATATCATTAATAGCATTTAACATTGAATAATAGTAATCTTCGTTGATTCGGTTCAAATAGTTTGAAATAACATTAAAATAACATACTAATCTTCGTTATATACGTTATAAATATATATTAAACAGGAACTAATTTGCAAAGTTTATTCTTAAATAAAAGTTGTACCATTGACACAAACAAAAACAAAAAAAACATGATTATATAACTCAAACCGTTTACTTTTTTTTTGTAAAACCTAAAATTTGTACCAATTAAAAAGCATTTAATGTACCGCAGTAACAATGCTATAATGGCGTGAGAATAATAAATGCATCCAAATTATATAAAATTAAAATTTTGTTGATCGAATAGCAAGTTTATTTAAAGTCATACCACATTTTTGTATTGGGCGAATTAGGAAGAGTACCAGGATCTAATAATAATTTTATTATTGAGTTCCCTTAATGCCACGTTCCTTTATATTCTTTATAGACGCATGAAATGTGTGACCGAACTACTTCCTAAAATATCTTCCAAACAGAATAAAAGAAAAATGCATAACCTAATAAACAACAACGGTAATTTGATTTAGGGATAAAATTGTTGAAAATCTTTTAATCACGTGAAATTAGGTTTTTCAAAGTGATATCATCATTTTGCAATAGATTTTTTTCTCCCTGTACGAAGGCGGTTTGGCGCATTTTAATAGGGTCATATTGATGAACTTTTTTAACTTGTTTACAAAATATTTTTATAACATGTGACCTATATATCATGTAATCCGATTTAAAAAAATTTTGAACCTTTCGTTCATTCTAATGTAATGAATTTTTTTTTTTCATGGGGAGGACAGATGGGGTTGGTTCGTGGATGATAATACAAAGAAAAATGAATTTCTTAATTCGCCTTTTGGTTAAAAAAAAGAAAAATGAATATGCATATTTAAGTATAATAATGCAACATTCACACAGAAATCACAGAAATCACAGAAATCAACAGCATTTACTTAAATGGTGTTACGATGATCATTTAATTATATATTTTCCTTGTTCAAAAAGAAGTAATTTCAATAAAAAAGATTCGATGATTATAAAATTGCATAATTTTTTCTTATCAATTAGTAACATTACTCAAAAATTACTAATCATTGATAAATAAAGTTAACTAGATCAACCAAAAAAGGTTTATTACATTTTGAAGATGTAGTATTTTTTTTTTTGTGTATAAAGTTTTTATTATATGAAGTTGGGGAGATTTAAAAAAGATTAAAAAGATTAAAAGAACTTGAAATGAATTAAATGTGGGAGTAATTGTTAATTGATGTAGTTGATTGTGTTATTTATTCCTATTTGAAAACGAATAGTTTGGTAAATAATAAGCAAACCATATGAAAGACCATATGGAAATCAAAGCATTGGTTACCACTTTTGGTATATAAACTAAAAAAAAAAAATGTCCGGTGATGCGTAATGTGACACGTAGTGTGATTGCGTGATGGAACTGCATACTTTTAATGGCTCCGGCGCAGTTAACGAAAAAAAAATCATAAAAAAATTACTGCGCCATTTGAATAAATTAATGACGAGATTATTGTAATTTTTTTTTCAACGGCGTTATATGTTCCTTTGCATAACATTGCATATAAAAAAATAATTGATATTTCCGAAATTAAATAATAAATACGGCTAATCACTTTTCCCTAGAAATTATTTGTTGAATGAAATGATGGGCCGATTAAAATATCCATCCCCTGAATAATTTCAAGGAACCTCAATAAAACAAAAAGTATTTCTATGCTTATAATTATTATTACATGAAAATAAAAGAAAGATGATTTCGTTCGCATGAATATTTTTTTTTTTTTTTTCGTTTATTAAAAAAATATAAGGCTTCTTTGGTCATTGCGCCTGTGCGTAGTAGTGATAAGACATTCGTTACTTTCTATGGAAAAATGGCAATTTTTATGTAACTTATAAAACCAGAAATTTTTGTGGCTTATTGTTTCGTTACGATTTATCATTGGATTTAGAAATATCGAATTTCGGTGATTGCCAGTTGCAATTTAAATTTTTAATTATTATTATGACATCATTAAATTTGAATAATTTTATTTAATTTAATTTAAAAAATCATGTTTGATTTTTTGAAAAAAAGAGGGGGCTTACATTTTTAAATTATATATAGCCAAGAAATCATCCAGATCTTCGAATTGGCATAATAATTACAAATCAAGCAGGTGATAATGTATGAGGGAACAAAAAAAAGAAACTTAATTAACAATCTTTTTTTTAAAAAAAAAAAAATTTTAAAAAAAAATAAATAAATAAATAAATAAAAAAATAAATAAGAATAAAAAAAAAAAAATTTAATTGAAACCCTTTAAAAGTTAACAAAAGTTAACAATTCAAAAAAAAAAAAAAAATGTTACAATTTTTTTAATTTTTTTTTTT